GGAACTCAACCTGAATTTGTTTGGTCTAGGCATTCTATGATGTTTCATAAAGGGGATAAAAAATGTGTGATGTGCAATCATTTGCTTATGTGGGTTTTTTGTTGTTTTTAGAAGTTTAAAAAAATCACAATGGTAATTATTGAAACTGTGAAATCCTTATCCCAGAAAAACTAAACATATGCTTAATGTGTGATCCCAAAACTTTAAGATAAAGCCTATTAATGAAGTTATGTAGGGCTGGTAGTGAAACTTGTGAGAGAGTGCTTACTTGACATGCTTAGGACCTGGATTCAGTTATTTAGAAAGTGGGTGTACATCCTTATAGAGATATTTCTGTTCATTTAGAAGTTTAAAAAAGCTAGAATGATCATAATTGTGCTTTGAACTGCTATTTTTACTTACAGTAAATGATAAAGTATTCAATATTTTAATATATACAGTGATATGTGTGTGTGTGTGTGTATGTGTGTGTATGTGTGTGTGTATTTTCATGACTCAACACTTGGTGATTGTTTGCATCTCCCATAATTTGCTTAACCTCAATGTAATTTCAGGTGTTTAGGATGAAATAAATTCTTTCAGGTTTTCCATTTTGTTCTCCTAATTTACCACGAGATTTAGGAAACATTTCCATCTTCCATTTGTTTGATCATTTCTTCCTGTTTCCTCCAGTGTGACTATAAAAATGCAGGCTGAGAACCAAAACGGTTTTCCTCCTGCCCAATTCAACAATCCCCACAGAGAAGAGAAGACAGGGAGAGCACAGGTCTTTCTGGTCTTGTCTCTGGTTGCCTGCCTTGGCCAACTCCCTCACACTCTTTGAAGTTGGTGATTCTTTCAAAATCAAGACATCTATTCAAATGTCTGATAAATTCTTCCTTGGAGATGTCTTTCTTTCAAAAATTTTTATTAGTGCATATTTGCAGTACATAAAGATTTCATGGTATATGTATATAACATCTTAATTCATTTTTCCTTTCCTTTCCCTCTCCTTCCTGCATCTCTTGGTCCCTTCCTTTTTGCAAAAGATCTATCTCTGTGTTTCCTGTTATTTCACTTTATTTGGCTCTTTAATTTATTTATATGCTGAGTTTCTCATATAGGAGAAAACCATGCCATATGACATT